CTGAACAGCGACCGATGAGACGATGACTGGGTGATTGATTCCTCCGTGAAAATTGGGGAAGTTGGGTTTGAGCAAACAACCAGGAATTGATGTTCAATCTTTAACTACATTGACACTCCCCGCCAGATAAAGGGATCCATCCTTTTTTTCCATCACAACCAATACATGTTGAATTGGATGCCATTGCGAGAACCTGGGTCACACGGAGAGAGCTGAAATGGAAAACAAACTGAAAAGCCAACACACCACAAGCATACTCACAGCACAATCTCACACTTCAATGACGACCTGCGCCTTCCAGTTAAAGGCATCCTCTTGACACATCCTCTTGCAACACAATCTCCACTTGCTAGAATGACTCTCGCAGAATGCAACGTGACCATAGCACCACCTCATGATACTCCACGCACATCCACCTATCTATTCACCATCAATTACCATTGCGATCGCTTGTCGCTCATTCTACCTCAGTTCTAGTAATGGTGACGTATGCAAGCCCCAGCCGTCCACACGTTTGCTCCCCGGTGTGTGGGACCGCAACTAACAATTATCTCCGTGTGCATTTCATTCTCAGCAATAGCCTCCCCGGCATGTACGACCCATCTGCTGTCTCTAACATCAATCAATTCATTCACGGATAAGGAAGACTCGAAACAACTTCAGAAGTAATCACGACGAAAATTTTAACAAAATTATGTAATAACAACAAGGTACGAAAACGAGTAAACTCAATGAATCCAAAAAACACCAATTGATATGACACACCACACGTATATGCAAACAGTACAAATAACCTCGCCGATCATGTCTTGATGGAATTCCTTTGAAGAATCGCAGGACTTACACCAGTACGCCTACAACCCTTCTCACGTTGACGATTGTAATTTGTGGAATGTCCGGACACAAAAAAGATCAACCAACAATTACAATAATTGGAACTCACACAATTATTTAACACAAACATATGTACAATCAACACATCAAATGTTGTGGATTCTGGCACGACAAACTACCCTTGAAGAACTGTAGGACTTACAGCAGTACGCCTACATTCCTTCTCAGGTTGATGATCCAAGTGGAAGTCGTCCGGTCATAAACAGAATTACCAACAGCTAGATGACAGATGATATCAACTCAGTATATACAATATGAACATATGTACAAAATCACACACCAAGCACATTGGACTTCTCATTGATGCGCTACCCTTTGAAGAATTGTAGGACTTACAGCAGTACGCCTACAACCCTTCTCAGATTGACGCTCCAGGTTGGATAATCGTTGCAGAGTTCATTTGCTTACTTCCTTCTATCAGCTATATCCTCAAATCTGAACGGCAACACGCTCATATCATTGTATCGTAGAATATATATATTACTAACTGACACACTACATATCTGATCAACCAAGGGTAGAAACAGAGTAATTTACAGCAAAGATAATAATTTTCAAATAGTAATTTGAAACTAGAAATGCCTTTACTCATGCAAGTCAATTTAACAATTACCCTCTCGTACACACTTGGCTTATCCTCACTAAACTGACCAATATCTTTCGTCTTTTCAAGTTCACCATAACTATCAAAGCCATTGCACAAGTTACTTGAGTTGATGGACGTCCTCCTCATTGTGGATGACAACACCAACGACGACTGATTGATACCAGTTGATGAACTTAGCGGTGGATCGGAAGCTGTTGTGGTTCGGCATTCAGAAAATTCTCTAACTGCAAGATTACTACCACTGCCGTCTTTTAATTTTAGCTCAGGTTTAGCACTATCATCTGACGATAGGTGGGCTACATGCTGATCAATTAAACTGACGGTCTGACAAGTATGCATGCCTGCTGCAACTGCATTAATTTCTACTTCACTCTGCAGTTTTACAGAACTTTTATTCAATTTAGCAGTAGTAGGCATTCCCCCCATTTCATCATGATCAACCCAAGACAAATTTGCACTATCGTGTTCATTATCACAAATATTCTCTTTACCGTCAATCTCATCATTTTCAAACTCTTTAATAACAGAAGTAGACAATTCTGGTTCCTCCTCACAAATCCTAAAAGGTTTTATAACTTCACTCTGACTAGTAATACCTTGTAAACTTGTAGGGTCAGTACTGGACTCTGAGGCAACAACTCTATTCTGTGACACTCTATTCAACAATGGCTTACCAGTTGTAACTACAGACTTCTTCACCGCACAGTTATCGTCACACAATTCGGAGTAAGGCCTGGAGTTTGCATTTAGCTTATCATTGAACTTGCTCACTGATTCACAGTTAACCTTTGTATGCACCTCTTGCGAACGTGTACAATACAACCGTGTTTGTCTTGCATCTTGCAACTTATCTGTTGACGATGTACTACGAAACCTGTCACACTAACTAGGTCTATATGCATTACTAGACATCATAGAGCCTTATCGATATCCACCTCTCTGAGGCCTATTCGTCATCAATGATTGCGTTTTACACTCAGACTCCTGTATTCTAGGGGTGAGATTCAATATACTGGCAAACTTGCTCATCGATTGATTGACATAATCTTCTACTAGCTTCAGGATATCATCAAACCTTGGCTCGATACCCTCATCCTCCATACGGGAGCCTATCTTCACCCACTTCCTTTGCAGTCGAGTAGGCAGGCGTCTCGCTATTAGCTCTGGGACTGAGCTCGAGTTGAGCTCACTCATGTAATTCATAGAAATCAAGGTATTCTTATAAGTCATAAGATCATCTAAAAACTCAGTAAGTGCCTTGGAGTCATCTTGAAGTTGACTGCCGTTACCTTTGACAGCTTCGTATACGTTCCTTACAATCATTGAAGGTCTTCCAGACCTTTGACGTAATATGCTCATAGCCTCAGCGTATCCCTCATTAGGGGGCATGAGCTTACAGCACTGTATAGCTCTTGAAGCATCTCCAGTGCAATACCTCATCAAATACATCAATTTCAATTCATCACTTAATAAAAAACTACTCAGCATGATCTCAGACTCCTTTACGAATTGTGAATAATCAGCCGGGTTTCCATCGAAACACCGTGGTTCAAATTTAGGGAGTTTGATGTTCCTATTATCCCTGAACGGCGAAACAGTAGCATCTACCATGTCATGCTTAACATCAGACACATCGTTACAATTAACAGACAAGTCACCATGACTTACTTTCCTGTTTGTATCCAAGACACTCTGTCCCTTCTTTGACCCAGGCATTGTTGAACTTGAGCAAATTCCAAAAATGTTCCAGATATTGCTTGTTCAAAGAGGACTTGACCGGCACCAGGAAAGATGAACGGTGACTATCCAAACTTTCACCAACTGTCTGAATCCACCAGAATCTGTTTCTACCGTGAGAAACTGACTTCACTGTCAGAAACTGTCAGCCGCGTCTCGTAAACCGTCAATGCCCAGCTTTTGCTACGCTGGGACTCACGCTGTCCCTCGAAGATTTTCAGAAACTCTTAGTACTAACCGACGGAAAAACCAAAACACCGTTTGGCGTTTCAAGAACTCTTTATTCTAACGCCAACATATAACCTGCAATACTGGCATTACAGACTAAGGTCTGTGAACAAATATTACAACAATAAATCACAATATCACTTCTGACGGTTTTCCCCTGACTTCTTTCTGAACAGCGACCGATGAGACGATGACTGTCGTATTGATGCCTCCGCGAAAATTGAGGAAGTGAGTTTTGAGCAAACAACCATTAATTGATCGTTCAAACTTCAACTGCATTGACAGGATGTGTGAAGTGTATCATGAGGTTGTGCTATGTTCACGTTGCATTCTGCAAGAGTCATTCTAGCAAGTGGCGATTGTGTTGCAAGATGTCGAGCGGATGCCTTTAACTCGAAGGTGTAGGTCGTCGTCGATGAGCGAGATTGTGCTGTGGGTATGTCTGTGGTGTGTTGGCTTTTCTGTTTGTTTTTCATTTCAGCTCCGTACGTGTGACCCAGGTTCTCGCAATGGCATCCAAGTCAACGTGTATTGGTCGTGATGGAAAAAAGGGATGGATCCCATTTTCTGGCGGAGGGTGTCAATGTGCTTGAAGATTGAAAGATAAGTTCGTGGTTGTTTGCTCAAACCCAACTTTCCCACTTTTCGTGGAGGCATCAATCAGCCAGTCATCGTCTCATCGTTCGCTGTTCTGTGGAAGATCGAAAATTATCAGAAATCTTGTGTAATAACCCTATTGTCGTCTACGTGTTATAGTAAGATTAAAGGATTCTCGAGTCGCCAATCAGTGTTCTGGTGTTCCCGTTGGTTAATACAAAGTGTATCTAAAAGTCTTCCAGGGACAACTTGAGGTCCGGTGTAGTAAGAGCTTGACATTGACAGTTTATTAGAGTTGGCTGACACGGGACGTTACTGATAAATTTTAAGTAGTTAAATTTCTATGTCGAATTTACGTAACCACTACTTCAATTGCAGAAAAACGCATCAATTTTTTGTGCATTTTTCGTAATGTAATTACATCGACAGTTTCCTGTTGAATATTTTCAAAACATTCTACAAGCAGAACATAGAAGAAAGTTCTAACACTTAAAAGTAAGAACGGTATTAGCTTTTTCCTGGTGAATAAAGCGTTTGCCGTTATACACGAATACAGACAGACCCACATGCATACACATGTATATATTTGTACATGTATATTAATGTAGATACTGTTAGAATAGTGGCCAATAGCATCACATTGCAGTCACACTGACAAATCTATCCGTGACTTGTTATTGTCACTTTGACTGTGATAATATAAGGGGTCAAGGTATTTGCTAATAATGTCACTCATGTGACTCGTATGAGTCACGTATGTGGGTTCATGCTTACTGACAAATCATTGGAGTTTACGAAAACATCTATGGTCAATGTTAATTGCAGCACAACTAATTTTTGTTTAGTTTGCTTACAGCCACACATTGTGCGCGCACTTTTAAAATGTTCACGATGCAGGTAAGTGGTCGTTGTGGCTCATTTTTAATTTTTCTCCTAGTCTAACACTAAATACCCTACATTAAGCCTGAAAAGATTACGTCAGCGTAACCTACGGTTGACCTGCCGTTACACCACATTTTACAGAAGGTATAAACGTAACTATGAACCAGCACTGGTCGAGATCTCGGCTGTCACACATGCTGTCCTCCCTGTTGAAGTCGAGCCGTCTTTAGGTAACACTGATACCATGACCATTGAAACCGAGGTAGTGCCATCGCCACCTTGTAGCAGCCTAACCCCAACTGCTAGTACTTCACAAATGTGCCCACATGTGTCTTCTGAACGTGATGAAATGACAAGTATGCTACTCAGTATCATCGTTACCACGAACATATCACAAGCAGACGGTAACAGAATCTTGGAGTACTTCCGTGCGAAATTGCCCCAACTACCAACAACTCTTAGAAGTGTACTGAGAATGTGTGGCTCTTGCGAGTCAAGACTACTTGGAGACGGAATGTATCGCCACATCGGTCTCAAAAAATTTTTGCAGCTCTACATGGAAATGTCTGTGGTTGAAAGTCCTTACAACGAGATTGATGGGGAATTGTCCATCTCGAAGTCTTCTAACCAGCAGCTATGGCCCCTGTTAGGTAGAATTACGGCACCGTTCCTCAGTAGTGTATTCATGATACGTGTATATGTCAATCCGAGCAGCTATAAAGAGTTATGTAATGACTTATTATCTGAGCTAAAGGATATATTAAGTCAAGGTATACACATTACCAGACTAAACAAGCATTTCAACGTTCATTTGACAGCCGTCATCTGTGATGCACCGACTAGAGCGGGCGTGAAATTTATAGTAGATCATGCCAGCGCAGGTTGCGACAAATGCACAGTTACGGGAATAAAACTTTACTGAAGAAAAACATTCGGAAATGGATTTTTTCCTATCCGGACTGATGACAGCTTCCATCAAAGGATGCAGTCAAGTCACCACCGTGGACAATGTGTTTTGGGGAAATTGCACATTGATATGGTTAGGTGCTTCCATCTTGACCCAATGCACCTAGTTTGTTTAGGCGTAGTTAGGAAGCTTATAAGCCTCTTGTAAGACTTAGCTGAAAAAAGGAGATGCACGTAAACCGGCTCATGCTTGAAAACATTTACGGGAAGATATCAGCTAGTGCTGGAATGACACCCAGGGACTTCCCAAGAAAGTGTAGGGGGCTCACCGAAGTTGGTCGGTGGAAAGCCATTGAATATCGCATCTTCCTCCTTTACCTAGGACCTGTTTTACCTAAGGTCACTACGCCACCCGGAATATACTGCAACTTCCAAAGACAGTCTAACAAAAAGTTTTATGGGAATTAATTGGAAGGTTGCAGAGATGAGTTAATCAACTTCTTCAATGAGTTTGAAGTGATTTTTGGCAGGGAGCACCTGGTTTATAATATTTATTGTCTGCAACACTTAGCGGAAGACGTCAATGAAATGGGACCTTTAGAATCCTTTTCGGCGTTCCCATTTAAACTCTGTATGCAAACAATCAGGCGTTCTATACATTCTAACAATGCGATTGCTAAGCAGGCGGCACAAAGATTTGCAGAAAAGGTTTTTCACGACTGCAAATCAGGAGCACTACACGATAACGTTCTAAATCTATGTCTAATAGGTGTAGATAGGTAAATAACTAACACCAGACGTGTAGTTATCACTTCCTCTTCGCCAGGTAACTTCATCATAGCCTTCGGTAAACATGGTCTCATAACGCAGATATACAAGGAAGGACTAACATCCAGACCTTATATAGATGCTTGTGATTTCTTCAACTAGCCATTTAAGTCATCCCACATTGGGATGTGGAAATGCTCCAGAGTTAGCCCCTACCAGCTAGAAATTCTGCCGTCAGATATTAGTTGTAAGTGCTTCTGTATTCGTAAAGACAAACATGAAGTAGCAGGGCCGTTGCCTCATACTTTTTCAGAAACTGTTTAGATTGATTGCGTCAACCGTCGGCATTCCTGTATTCAATGATAAGCAGACTAATGAGACTGTAAACTTTGTTTATATCATATTTACTTATTTCTTATAGAACGAAAAAGAAGACTTACGCTGTGTTAACGAAGCGGGGTTCAAAAGAATTCTTCATAGTCGCCAAAAAATGCAGGCTGTCGGATTATATGTGCGTGAATCACAGTTTAGAAGTTGACGGTATAGACGTTCGCGACTTGTACAGAGTATATTAACGCAAAATCTTATACCAACAACTTCCATATTACTCGTTTCTCGTGTACCAAAGGCAAAGCAAAAGACCACAGTCGATTGTCCCAACTACGAGATATGTTCAGGAACCAAATCACGGATTGAAGCGGAAGCTAAGCTGGCTAGTTATCGTGCACGAAAGTGACACGACGGAGTACCAAATGGCGGGGATGCTTGACGGGCAGCCTTCAGCTAAACAAGTAGACTTAAACTCTGAGGATCAGCATCCAATGTTCACGATGTAATTCTTCTCTTAGACATAATCTATTCTTATGGTAAATAATTTTAGGGAATTATTTACCGCTACAACAGCAATGTAACAGAATCTGAAGTTGAAGTATGTATAAGACCTAGACCGGATCGGCTCTTAATTTCCTGTCAGATGTTAGCCGAGCAAGGTAACTGTTTTGGTATTAACTATATTCCCGTAATAAGGCTCTTTTCTAGAAGTCAAGAGCACTTTGTCGACTGTAAAACGGATGCACAATATCCTGTCCATTTCAGATAATCTCGAGGAGACATTTCTCCTAACAATTTCCAAACGTCCAAGGTATATTCTTTTTATTGGTTAATGATAGAATACAGAGTGGAGACAAAGAACTTCACCTCGTACGTTTATGAGTCAGCTGACATGGAAGCAGTGGAGGTACAGAATGTGTGTCGGTGGCACAGTCGTTAGGACTCTCGCCGACCACGCATATGGTCCGAGGTTCGATCCCCTGCCGACGCAAACCTGATATCTGTGGTCGGCTTGCGAAATTTGGGCTACCGATATCCATGCTGAAAATTCCATACTTGTACTAAAAATGCGGTTTGGGATCAAGCTGTAATCAAAAGAAATACCCTAACACCAATTTCATGGAAGCTGTGATGGCACCGGCAGCCAGGTAGCGCATTTATTTAATATTCTTATTCCTCCAGCACTTCCAGTCCATAAATGCCAATGGCAACGTCTTCACCAATCTCACAGCCAATTCAGCAGACTACGTATGTTATTTTTTAATCAATGGTTACTGTCCAGTAAGGAAAACACTGATTTTAATGATAAAGTGGTTACTAAGTTACAGTCCCTTACAGGAGAAGTGTAGTCCCATAAAAGAAAAATGCAGTCCTTTAGTAAACTGGCGGCGCAGTTGGTCTCAGTAAATAAGTCGAGCGACGTGACCATCTTGGGAACCGGGAAGTCATCCACTGACAATGGTAAATTGGAATTCCCCTTGGCAACCGAAGAAGAGTTTAGCCAACTGAAAGCGTCACTGAAAAGCCCAAAATTCAGAGATTCATTCGTAAGTTTACAATTAAACTTCGATTACGTTCAGACCACGAAACTGGTTAGCAATTTATCGTTTAATCCGCAGTCTTTGTTGAGACGAATGCTCAATTATGTTTGAGAGCCTAAGCTGTCAAGCCGCTTTACAGCGGCAAAGAAGTTAGCCCTCACAAAATGCTACTTCTTAAAGTTATAACCTGTAAGCTTGCTTTATTTAAATATTTCTTCAGACGTCATTGTCAGCTAGTTCGCTTCTGCTACAATGCCCGAGGACGAAGTTATGAAAACTTTGAGAGAAAGTGCAAAGACCTACTTCCACGACGTATGTGATCGTGTAGAAAAAAGGGGGAGCCGGTAGAGAGTAAGTAAACAGTTTTTGTTAAATTTAAGTCACTATACTACAAACCCTTTCATTGTATGAATGTCAACCAACGAAATTCTGTTTTATTTTTCACAGGTTGCTGTTGACGCTTAGAAAAGGGACCAGGGGATCTGTGCTGTAAGTGAATGCTGTAAAAATCTATAATGCAACTGCCAGTAGCGTGTAATAGTCAACGTTATCATAACTACTGCTGGTAATTATACGAACTACGTGTTAAGGTAGACAGTTGGTTCAACAGTTCATGGGTTGTCTATAATGACTCAGTTGTTATTGTATGTTCATTGGAAGATTCAACGTCCAAAAATACTCACACTTAGGGTCTTTAAGTGTGAGTATTTCTATAATGTAGACAAATAATTTGATTTCTACTCAATAATCAACTAAATTTTTAAATCTGAATAAACACGTTTAATGTATCATTATTATTTATTTATTTTGATTATAGCTTGATACCACACCGCATTTTAAGTACAAGTATGGAATTTTCAGCATGGATATCGGTGACCCGAATTTTGCAGGCCGACCGTAGATATCAGGTTTGCGTCGGAAGGGGATCGAACCTCGGACCATGTGCATGGTCGGCGAGAGTCCTAACCACTGTGCCACCGACGTACGAGTGTAACGATTGATTACTAACCTACTAATTTTTCTTCCTTTTCACGGTAGTCCAATGGATCTACTTGATGAGGGGGGGGGCCGCTGTAAAGCCGCATTCAGATTTCATATTAAAGGACAATCATTCCCCTTGTGTGTATCATTCGCAACTCTAACTGTTCATTAATCCTAAAGAATTAATTTGCCGAATTGTTGCTAACTCTTACTCCTTTAACCAATAAAAAATGAAATATATTTACTTTCGTAACGAACCTTTATTTGAATTCCAAGTTTTGAGTTTTTGACGCAAAGAAAATAAGGAAAAATATACGAGTAAAAGGGGGAAATTCTGCTGGTTAAACGGAAAATAAGCGATAAAGAGGGGAAATTCTGATGAACAAGGAAAAATCATGACGTTCAACTAGAGGGGGAAATGTGACAAAAAATGGGACAATGTGTGGCGTCTGGGAAAAAGGATTAGATCTTACTATAGACCAGTTTTCACCCTTTTTCTCTCGAAGGAATGTTCCAGTTTTCCCCCCTTTTAAAACACGATTCTCCCTGTATTCCTCGGATTGGCTAATTTCTAAACAACTCGCCCTTGTCCCAGGATTATAACTTCCTTTCACATATGAGCCTAAGTTATGTCTATGAAATCGCAATATTACATCAACTAAATCTTCCCCGAAAACCAAGGCCACTTGAAACCCATAGCAACATAGCAAACAGCGTCATAGCGATGATATGTAATAAAGCTACTGTCAGCCACGTCTCGTAAACCGTCAATGCCCAGCTCTTGCTACGCTGGGACTCACGCTGTTCCTTGAAGTTTCTCAAAAACGCTTAGTAATAACGGACGCAAAACCAAAAACATCGATTGGCTACTCGAGAATTCTTTAACACCAGCATATATCCGACTTTAAAATTAAGCTCTAACTAAAATCTATGAACAAATATTACAACAATAAATCACAATATTACTTCTGACAGTTTTGGTCTGACTTCTTTCCGAACAGCGACCGATGAGACGATGACTGGTGTATCTATGTCTCCGCGAAAATATAGCGAAGTAGGTGTCAATGTAGTTGAAGATTGAACGATCAATTCCTGGTTGTTTGCTAAAAACCAACTTCCCCAATTTTCGAGGAGGAATCAATCAGCCAGTCATCGTCTCATCGGTCGCTGTTCAGAAAGAAGTCAGGAGAAAACCGTCAGAAGTAATATTGTGATTTATTGTTGTAATATTTGTTCATAGACCTCAGTTAGAGCTTAATTTTAAAGTCGGATATATGCTGGTGTACAATAAAGAATTCTCGAGTAGCCAATCGGTGTTTTTGGTTTTGCGTCCGTTATTACTAAGCGTTTCTGAGAAACTTCAAGGAACAGCGTGAGTCCCAGCGTAGCAAGAGCTGGGCATTGACGGTTTACGAGACGCGGCTGACAGTTTCTGACAGTGAAGTCAGTTTCTCACGGTAGAAACAGATTCTGGTGGATTCAGACAGTTGGTGAAAGTTTGGATAGTCACCGTTCATCTTTCCTGGTGCCGGTCAAGTCCTCTTTGAACAAGCAATATCTGGAACATTTTTGGAATTTGCTCAAGTTCAACAATGCCTGGGTCAAAGAAGGGACAGAGTGTCTTGGATACAAACAGGAAAGTAAGTCATGGTGACTTGTCTGTTAATTGTAACGATGTGTCTGATGTTAAGCATGACATGGTAGATGCTACTGTTTCGCCGTTCAGGGATAATAGGAACATCAAACTCCCTAAATTTGAACCACGGTGTTTCGATGGAAACCCGGCTGATTATTCACAATTCGTAAAGGAGTCTGAGATCATGCTGAGTAGTTTTTTATTAAGTGATGAATTGAAATTGATGTATTTGATGAGGTATTGCACTGGAGATGCTTCAAGAGCTATACAGTGCTGTAAGCTCATGCCCCCTAATGAGGGATACGCTGAGGCTATGAGCATATTACGTCAAAGGTCTGGAAGACCTTCAATGATTGTAAGGAACGTATACGAAGCTGTCAAAGGTAACGGCAGTCAACTTCAAGATGACTCCAAGGCACTTACTGAGTTTTTAGATGATCTTATGACTTATAAGAATACCTTGATTTCTATGAATTACATGAGTGAGCTCAACTCGAGCTCAGTCCCAGAGCTAATAGCGAGACGCCTGCCTACTCGACTGCAAAGGAAGTGGGTGAAGATAGGCTCCCGTATGGAGGATGAGGGTATCGAGCCAAGGTTTGATATTCTGAGACTGGTGAAGGACAGTGTCAACCAGGTGATGGGCGAATTCGCCAGCATTTTGCATTCTAAGGTAGAACCTCAGGAACCAGTGAATATAAGGAAGGCATTTGTGGTGAAGTCTCAAGACACAACGAGAAAGGATGAGTTTATTGTTTGCCATATCATGCATCAATTGAGTGATTGTAATTGCTTTATCGCTATGTCACCCGTAGAATGGCAAAGCAGAAGCGGCTGTGTTTCAGTTGTTTAAAGATTGGGCATACAAAGTGGAATTGTAAGGAGACAAACAAGGGAAGTAGTGGTTTATCGGATATGCACCCACTTCTGAGGACAGTGAACGAACCTGGGAATTCGGTTAATTGTAATAGTATCTCTAGACCCCTTGACACCCGACAAGTTTTCTTAGGGGTATTACCAGTTAAGGTGAAAGGACCGAAATCTTCGCATTGTTGGATAATGGTTCAGACGTTACATTGATAGATGCTAAACTGGCTGGTTGCTTGGGTATTAAAGGCCCAAAGCAACCCTTGGTTATAAATACTTTCAATTTTGCGAAAACAGTAGTATGTGAACGAGTGTCATTTCAGTTAGAATCCTTGGCTACTGGGGAAACCGTGGAAGTGGATACTGCTTACACTACATCCAGTATGAAACTTGGCGAAGCTATAGTACCTAGTCGTGAAACGGTTGTCAATAAGCCATATCTGTGTGACACACAGCAAGATGGAAGAGTGAGAGTACTCATTGGATGTAGTGTGCCAGAAGCTCACAAGGTATTAGAAGAGAGATTCGGAGGTAGAGATGATCTGTTCGCGACGAAAACACCCCTGGGATGGACAGTGAGAGGACCTATACCCATAGTCCACATATCATCATTAGTTGCAAACGATGGGATAAACTAGAAACTATGATTAAAAATATGTATGACAAGGAGTTTTGTGACTGTGGTGTCCCTGAGACGGGTCGTTCTGTAGAAGACTTAAAAGCAGTTAAAATAGCCGAGGAGTCTTGTAAATACGAAAACGGGCGTTTCAGCGTTGGCCTACCATG